TGCCACGCTTCGTCTCTGACTCGCCCCATTTCGTTTTGACTGGCTGATCCCCATCACTCCCCCCAACACACGCTCGCCTACTCTCCCCTCCTCGCATTTCTCGGCAGTTCATCCTCGCCTCGCCTCGCCATGCTTTGTCCTTTCCCACTGAACCTCTTCCTCCATCCCTGCCCTTCTCACTCCACGCCACTTCCCTTACTTACTACGGCCTCTGCCCCACCTCGCACTACATGAGCCCCTGCTTCCTGCCTCCTTTACGATCACTTCCCGCTTCACCACCACCTCATGCTCTCCGGCTGTCCCCACTCCGCCCCTCCGCGCCTCGTCCCGCTCTCCTCGTGCCATCCCGGCACTCCCACAGTTCACTCTTTCACACTCACCTCATCTCACTTCCCTCACCTCGTCGCGCCCTTCCTCGCTAGTACGCCTTATAACCCTCCCCACCACCACTTACCCCCACGCGCTGTTTCCCTTACACATCCCCACGCCAACTCCTGCTCCCGCTACCTTTCTTCTACCAGCCTGCCCGATCGCCTCCGCCTGGTTCCATTACGAGCTAATCCCTCCGCCACTAAACTCCACGTTATTTCCTCACCGCGTCTTCTCTCCCACTGCCACAAGAAATCAAATCACAAACCTTAATCATGTCTATATTGTCATTAGCGCTATGGAATGGAATTATTTACAAATCAAGTAATATTTTATGGAAAAGTAAACCAATTTTACATCGAATTGTATATTCGAATGTGAATCAGATATGATTTATCTAAATATTAACCTCCACGTTAACATCTTTTCACATCAAAACCATTCATTAAATATAAAAAAATATTTTTTCTAATCCTTTAAAAATATTAAGAACGTTTGCTACGAAGAAATTAAATTACTTATTTTCTTACAATTATTGACTTTTATTAATAACCGCTTATAAGAAAAGACAAAATATGATTCAATTGAGAGGCCCTGATGTAATGAATGTAATTTTTCTAAGTTGCATATTTTCTTCCACAGATAGATCACCCAAGTTGCTCGCCAGCGCAGCAAATATCTTCAAAACGGTTTAAAGTAATGAGATGCAATTTGCACCAAATTGTTGCAGATGATCTGACAATATCACACTTTGTTTTCTTTTTTTTAACAATTGACATTTTCGAAATGGTTACAAACCTTTGACTTTTAAATGAATGTATATTTGTAACCGCATTCTTCTTTTTTTCTAGCTGTTTCAACATAAACACCATAATCTGACATCATTACTTTTTTACCAATCATGAAATAATAAAGACTGCTATTTCAATTATAATTATTTTAAATATATGTTACAAATGTAAATACAAAATGTAACTGTTGTTTTTGTTACTTCATAATTGTCAAAAAATCTAATGATTAATTTAATATTGAATAATCGAATAACAAAAAACAAAGCACCTTTTAAATTATTGCATTCTCAGTTGTAGTGAATTCTTTCGTTAGTATTGGAAAACGCCAGCCACCCCACCCCACGTCACTATGTGGCCTGTGAGTTTATATCGCTCATTGAACTTCTTGCCCATCACGTTTAATCCTATATTAAGATGGATGAAGTTTTCATTAGCTCACACAACGTACTGAGCAACAGCAAGGAAATACGTTCAGAATACCAGATTGCTAAAGCGACACTTAATGTGCTAGGAATGCACATCATGCAAAAATATCCTCTCCACGTCGTAAAAGGGATTCAGACCCACAGCTGAGATATAACGCCTCCCTCCCCCAATTGGGCACAAATGTCTCACCCAAACCAGCCAGGAATGCAAGACAGAGGTTGAAGAGGTATACATAGGAATTGAGAGAGCTCCTTGATAACACACACAAGACACACACACACAAGACACACAAACACAAGACACACACACAAGACACACACACCCATACAAGACACACACACCCATACAAGACACACACACACCCATACAAGACACACACACCCATACAAGACACACACACCCATACAAGACACACACATACAAGACACACTCACGCATACAAGACACACACATACAAGACACACTCACCCACACATGACACACTGACCCACACAAGACACACGTGCAAGACACTCACTCCACGCTCGAGCGGGTCGAGTGGTGATCTTTATTCAATTAACGCGTGCCTAAAAGCGTTTTCTTAAACCAAACGAGTTAATTAAAGCAGTATCTTAGCAGAAACGTTTATAATGATATAATAATAAAATCATACATTAAAAACGAATTTATTTCCAAATAACTTACACTAAGTTTAAGCCAGTGTTCTTATACTCTTTAGGTAGTACCCTAAAATATGTTACAGTATACTGCTTGAGAAATAGGAAACTAAAATGCAATGTCGAAAGTTGTATGAAATAAATGACCACCATAAGCGAGGACTTCCCAATGGACGTACAGTCAACCCACCAAAAAGAACGTTAAGCATTTCTATCGAGCAACAATCTTAATTGTAAGATGAGTACACTTTTACCTCGTAAGTACTTTTCTTTGATCTTGTTATTCTGGTTGTCTCTGCAATGTGTCATCTTGTATCAGTGTTGGTTTTTTGTTATGAATCTCTTCATATATTCATTTTCCTTTCAAATGATTTCCGTCACATCGTATTAGTTACAAAATGTACGATAAACAGAAAATAAACTTACCTTAATTACTCAACAGTGTCCACAGTCCCCAGAGTTAATGTATTTAATCCACTGTTACTGTTCCCAGTACACACGTTTCTCCTTTCTTCCTAGAATACTATAGATCGTCCACTTTTATTATTAGCAAGGGTATTCAGATCATCACCACTGAGATTCAGGTGACTTCAGTAACCAGTCTCTCCTTTCGCATTTACAACTCAAAGCCGGAACCCGAGGTACGTATCCCCAGAAAGTTCATAGAAATATTCGTTATCGACGATCTTTTTCTTTGGCACGTATGAAGTCGTCCAATCGAATTACAGCACTTTTTCAACGAGTTTTAGAAATACTTTTTTACTAAAACTACGTTCCAAATGTTAACAATACTTACAGCATTATATTTGTTTTAAAGATTTGAGGGTTCTGTTAAATTATATATTATTTGATTTAAAAAGAAGTCATGTCAGAATCTCCAAAATCACAAATGTTGAAAACAAAAAGGAAGTGCAACGGATGTTTGATCGCTCAGCTGCAACACATTGGGGGAAGCTGTATCACAATACCTCAAACCGTTCTGAAGATACTTGCTGTGGTCAAAAGAGGTTGTCTACATCTTACATCTGCTTTCGAATCGAATGATGAATCCAAGTAATATTAAATGAACTTTGTACTACAATTTCTTATAATACACTTAGCCATATCACCTCGGCAATATTACGTATAACCACTTCAGATTAATTCAAAATATTATCCATAAATTGAATACTTGAAATAAAAAGGGTGTTAGTGCCATTCCTGCTAAATTTGCGATTTTACTATAATAATGATTAATGAATCAAGACCAGTAACAAACAAGATTCAAAATCTACACGCTTTTCTTTATAGTGTTGCGGTGTAGTTACAAATGGCAGGAGAGATTTGTGCCAATAGATTAAACGTATACAGGTTGTCCGGGGAGAAAACGTCGAAACTTCGAAAGCTCCTAATCCAATTTCAAGCATATGTTTTCTCATAAACTGCTTGGATATTTCGACTGGTGGGGCCGCAATAATCACCCTAATTTGATTTGAAAAAAATATTTCTAAGCAAAAATGTGTACTGCAGAAGCGTATTAACATTCTAGAAACATGTAAATTGTTTATTATTTGCAAACAAATTTAATATATTCCTTCAGAAACAAAAATTAACCAAGAAATAAAAAAGCAGTAAAATTGTGTATATTGGATTTTTTTCTGTCCGAGTTAATTTTTTAATACATTCATTTGTTTGTATACATTAAACAATTTACTTGTTTCTGAGATGTTTGTATACCTCTACAAACCAAATATTTGCCTGAAAATATTTTTTCAAACATACCTTTGAGTGCTTATTGCGACTCAGCCATTCAGCATGTTCAATTAGTTTATTAGAAAAAATATGCTTAAAATTATTTCAAACGCCTATTTTCGAAATTTCATTCCGGACATTCTGTATATAATATCTCTTTTCTCGAAAGTGTTTCAATAGCACATACTTTTTTATTTCAAGTCTTCAATTACACTTCAAAGATTGTTCTGAAGGTGAACACGTTCTCCCAGCTAAACGCCTGTACGTGCTTTGTCCTGTATCTGCGCATGTTTGCCCTTGTGTGCAGAGAAAGGGGGTTCCTGGCAGCGGGGACAGCAGCCACAACATGCTGATGGCCAACCTCCACGACCTTCCCGGCCCGGTAAGTACTTTTTCGTCGCGACTACCCCGCCTCTTCTCGTTCTCTATTTCTTTCTCTCTCTCTTTACCCGCCTTTCTTTTTTTATTTTATCTTGCCGTAATTTCTATCTCTTTTTCTTTTTCTTCCTTTTGGCTGCTTCCTTCCCCTGCTCTGATCTGTCTCGCTGTGTTGGCGCTAGGTTCAGCACCTGCCTTGATGTGTATCTGGTATCCGCTCCTGACTCTGTCCCTTCCGGCTTCTCCTTTGACGTTGCCGCTTTTGGTGTTGACCTCATCCATAGATGGGGCTGTTGCTGTGACATCGAGAATCCTCCACCTCTTTCTTTATCTTTCTAACTGTGCGCTGATGTTTTGTTCCCCGTTTCACTTGGACCCCAACCCGGAGTGGCCGTCTCTACCTCTTGCGCGATCTCACTTCAGCCTCATTGACGTGCGATTGATGTACAACTTCGTTCACGTTATTTTCGACGGAATGCACACAGTATGTAAAACTTGTAGATAAAAAAGAAGAAATCTTCCTGAATGTCAGTTATATTTGTATCAGTAAAAAGGGTATTCACTGTTTTTATGTCAATCATTTATTTGCAAATAGCACGCGGTTTCGTTCTTGATTGGTTATGTCATCCGGTTACTGACTATGGGAAACCAGTTTTTTCGTGCTGTTACATAGGTGAAATTAAGTAGGTAAAACAGCTTTAGGACACTGAGAAATATTTTTTCCTTTGCACCTGACCCTGAAGATGCTACTGAAGAACTCTTTGCACCTGGCTCTAGAGGTGCTTCGGAAGAACTGCTCTTCAGTAGCACCTCCAGGGACAAGTGCAAGGGACAAATTTTTCACAGTGTTCTCGAGCTGATTTACCAATTTCATTTCACTGTGTATCACCACGGAATAACAGTTTCCACAGTCAGTAACCTGATGATGTAACCAATCAAGTTACGAAACGTCGTGCTATCTGGCAATAAATGGTTGACATAAAAATTGTAGATACGCTTGTTATTGGCACAAAGTATGTGTTTGGCGAATGCCAAGACACAAACCCATCGAATCATACATCAAAGCTGTCAACATACCATTTGCATGCTTAGTGTTGATTTTTGTATAAATGCATTTGCACGTTATTGTTCTCATTAATTCTCAATAGTTGGGTTTTGATAGTTCACTCGCAGAATCATGATACAACAAAAATTAGTGTACATAATGTGTAAATTTACAAAAATGACACAATCTAATTCTAAGTTGTCATGTAAATATATCACAGAATTGTAGCCACATAACATTTTTAGTTCCTTCTTGAGTGAACTGTCACCCGAAAGGCAATTATATGGTAGAAAATACTTGTGGTGTCAACTTAGATAGAGAACATGGTGGAAATCATAGTAGATATTTATGAGTAGGAGGTTAGAAGACACAATAAACTTATAATCAATAATTTATTTCCCAATTACCTTACAGGGTGGGACTGCCACTCCATCCTGATGTCGTCTACTATATTTAACCGAGCTACAACTCAATGAAGTTGTTAAATCTCATCCATATAAATATGATTTGAAATCAATGCAATTTAAATACATATACATAAATCTAGAAATTAACTACTATACATCGCACTTAAAAACATATTATTCCGTCCGCCCATCTCACACCTTGCAGTACGATGCGTTGCAAGTTGCCTTCCGCTCCAAACCGGTGTCGACTGTCGATGTCTGTCCGCCCCCTTGATCGGAATGCTTGGTGACACGGGACCCGGTCCGTAGCTTGAGTTAGATGCACCTAGCGTAGTGCGATTTGGAGGGCCTCTCCGCCCTCTCCTCTCTCTCACGGTTAGGATTAGAGGGTGCATGGACAGCTTCCATAAGGACAAAGTAATATATGGCTTTGCTTTCGTATGTCTTTGAGTATATTTGTATTTGTATGAATAAAAGTGCGTAGTTTGGTTTTCTTTGGAATAGTTGAGAATTGTTTTTGCGAATTCTCAAAAGTCGTTGGTAATCATGTTGAAGAGCTTGTAAAAGAGGAGCTTTACAATAAAAAGTATCTGTAATAAACAAGCATGGCACTCCAGAAATATCGCTTCACTTGGAAAGGACTCCTTGGAAAGGCTTGGCTCGTAGATTAATCGGCAATGCCCGTTGTCGACTCCCGGCGCAAAATGGATTCAGCCAACGATTTGGTTCTAGGTTGCTGAACCAAAGTAGCCTGAAGCCTGCCTGACCACTCCGGAGCAAATATTTCTGCAACCTGATTCTAAATAAAACGAACTGCGTCTTCTGATTGATACATTGATTGTTCAAAACAGCGTTAAAGTCTTAAATATAGACTATGCAATGGTCAAAACTTGCGAAAATATGGCAATTATACATTGTGGAACAACGATTGCCATACCAATGAACTATAAAATACTTGCGCGTTTTCATCATACATATTATATACATCATACAATTGGTTAAAACCTCCTCAATTGAAGGATATTTTGTGAAATTTTGATTCCAATTACGTGGTACGAGAAACAAGAATAGTTACTCTTGAATATATTTAAACAACGCGTTCAAAGTATAAAAAGCATTATTTGTTTCTGGAAAGTATGAAAATGTATCCAAATAGTTTTTGACATTTGTCAACTCACAACGTTTCAAACTTCATCAACACTTCATTTATATGAAAAAAATATAGAATAGAGAGAATTCTGAAGTTTCTAGAGCTATTTCACTTTAACACATTTTGATGTAATATCAGTATTTACTGTACTCCGATTACACATTTTCTTGTGAATATTCTGCTCCAAATTAAAAAAAAAGGGCTGATATGAGCTATGGACATTTCAACGGTAAAATCTAGTCAAACTAGATTGTTTCGAGAAAAAAAAAAACAGAAATTCACTATCATGTGAAAAAATGTTTTAAATAATTTTGTCACATATAAACTATATCCTTCACCCATTAAAATACTACCATAATTCTAGGATTTTAACTGGACTTTAAGAAAGCATTTCTAACACTAAGCAAAATATTCGGTTATAGAGCCTGTAGATTTGTATTCAACCAATGAGTTTCAAACGCTTACAACAAAGCAAATAGGAATTATATACAGAATTCTAAAACTTCGATCGGATAGTGTCAAATGTGTCAAACATAACATCACTAATATGGTGCATTTTGTTTTTGGGGTGTATCACATTCATTGAAAGCCAAGCACGTTTGAATTAACACTCGCACAAGTCACTACTCACAAGTCATCGCGCACTGCCACGCGAGTGTTGTCACGCACGCCACTGCCAAACTGTGTCCACGCTGTCCAGGTCACCATTGTTGCTTAAGTTCGCATCTCCCTTGTACCGCCTTCTCCCTACTACCACTACCAACAAACAGGTCCTACTTGAAAGTACAGTAGAACCCCGGTAATCCTAACTAATTGGGGGTATGGCCTGCGCGGAATCAAAAATGTTCGGATTATCCAAAAAAACGCACTGTACATATACAAATTCATCTATAGGATTACCATACAAATGGCAACGTAGCGAATCAATAGCATCATCAAGCAAATTCAGTTCCTTACGGGAAAAGAAGATTACCGATTTTGCAAGTTCCCCGAAGTGAAAATTAGTGCCAAATGAATATGATGTTGATCGTAGTTACCAGTGCAATAAACTTTCACGTCGACAACTTGTGTTTCAATAATTAATTCTACAGTGATTTTTAAATTATTTCTTTACACTTCAAATAAGCATTTTATTGATTGTGTTTATTTTTCCTATATCCCGAATTTTGTTGTATAATCCAAAATTTCGGATTCGCGGTGTTTAAATTAGCAAGGTTCTACTGTAATTGCAAGTACCATTTGGTTATGAGTGGTATTTTTCATAGAAATAATTTCAAGATGGTACTTCAAAAGAATCAAGTCAACGATCAGCTCAATAAAACGCATTTTCCTGCTTAGCATGTAGCTTCAACTAGAAAACCACCGTCTTCTGTTTCCTTCCCGTTTATAATTCCTCTCCTCTACACTCTGACACCTGAAATTAAATTCCATGCTTAAATATATCAATAAACAAACAATAAAGCAAAATGAATATAATACTGAGCTCTTACGGCTTTCTCTCTAACTTCACCAAATCATAACCACTAATGAATAGCGCATGATGTTGAAAACGCGCTGTAAAAATCAACAAGCGCTGTATAACAATTTTTTATGCTTTTTAAATTATGCACATAAACTAATGGGTAAAATGTTTAGATTTCTCATATCCACTGTAGATGTGCATGATTTATATATATACTATTCTTAGCCTACGCTATTTCTATGTCTTATCTTTGTGAACTTCCTTCATTTTTCAAAAGAACCAACTTTTTTCTCTATTTTGAACCTGCAATCAAATGCTACCACTGTTTCACTAGGTTCGAATTCACCCGAGCCTACGCTCTCTTTGTAGTCTCACGCATACCTCTTAACTTTTGAATGCCTTTTTTTATTATCATTAATATTATATTTAACATGCCTGCTGTATAGTAGTCAGTTGAAACATCATTGTTTCCGACATTTTTTTATAATTCACATTTTCACAGGTTTTTCTATAAATTAAAAAATATATATAATGCTTTTTTTAATTATTTCCCACACCTGACATAGTTACAAACGAAAAGTTAGGGAACACCCCAACCAATCATTTTATTATACTTTCAAAAATAATAAAAATAACAACGCTTGTTCATTCTTGCATAAAATATATTATGTGATGTTACTGTTTGAATGCATGCGACTCGAAAGCCTGGCGGTGGGCCAGCGGGCTGCACGCGAGACGCGCTCGGCGGCAGAGAGAGAGCGGAATCGGAATGAGCAATGATCAGGGCGACTGTCGTGGATTGGTTTGGCAGCGAAGGAGCCAGCCGCGCAAGAGCTCGTTCCAGCTGACGAAGAGCGATTGGAACGCGGTCGCGCAGTGTTCCCTAACGTTTCGTCTGCAACGCGAGCGGCGCCCCCTCAGCCGGCGGGCGCTTCCAGAAAGACTTGTGCAAAACGTTCAAATGCGAGGTGTCCTTCTCCATGGCATTGCGGTATGCATTTTCGTATCTGGAATTTCAGAAAGGTGTTCAAAGGCGCGCATGTTTTAATTAGGCGTAACAATTTGTAACGGTCTAGAGCAAGCGATATTATACCCCGACTAGCAAAAATGGCAATCACGTAGTTTATTGTTGAACACGCCGTGCGCGAAACGCATTTTCTCGTACTTGTTTTCCGTGCGCGAAACACCTAACTTTTTCACAGTGTGCGAAACATCGCAAAGCGTGTGCGAAACGTCTGTAACTATTCGCAATTGTCTTTCGTCATGACGACTTTGTTTATTAGTGACAAATAATAGTATTACGACAGGCTGGATCCATTTACTTTTGTACAAGTAAGGTAAAATAAAACTTATATTTCTTTACTTGAGGCATTACGTGTCGCTCACGGTGAGTTAAAAATAGCTCATGCAACACGGCGCAAGTTGATTCCCGCACTCCTCTCTTTTTCGTCACTGCATAGCGAGGACGACACACTTGACGTACGTGTGTCACCTACTTCGCGCCCCTGTTAAGTAAACTACTATTTACATGCTGAAATATCATAAAAGGGAATATCATTTATTTCATGTACAAAAGAAAACCGTATAATACTCCCCCTTCTATTGCACTATGATATTGAATGCAATCCAGAAAAAAGAATAGAATTTTGTACTATTGTAAACACAAAGAAACAAAAAGAAAGTGATATGTAACACAAAAATGTTTGCCAGTCAGCGTTTTGGCTCCCTTGGGGAATGCAACAAGTAAAATATAGTGAAGATTACTGGTCAATGATGAGGCGTAACAGTTTCAAGAGAAGAATACTTCTGTCGCGAAAACCGAATTAGGGAGTGTATTAGACAGTCATACTTGCACAACCTTTTCAGCGGAAGCTAATGAACAAATTTCTTTGTGATAGCTGCAATAGGAGTGACTGACAAAATAAATGAATCATATTTACTCAGTGATTTCATGCGTTATGATCGTTTTTCATTAATATAATTATATTCTGTAGTACTTAACTGAAAGATTATGCCAATAAACTTACAGTTTACTTCATTATGAAAAACTCTCCACCAATAAAAGAATATCACCATGCCTCCTAATGGTATAATCTCGTAATAATAACACATTCACACGTCATAATAGTATAGAAAATTGTCGATTGAAGAGTTTATAGGATTGAGTTTATAGCCGGGTAAGGTGGTAAAAACTGTCCCCAAACCAAAACGGTAATCGCACTCATTGAAAGAAAATACAAAATGTCATAGATTCGTACAAAATTAGCCTTTGAGGGCAATCTGTTGCAAAGACAGAAACGTGTTTTCATATTTTATTTTTTCTCAGCTTCTGTTGCATGTATCAGGCTGAAAACAGCAGAAACGGAGAAAATATTCGATGGTATTATTTTTAACCAATTTTGGCTCCAATTCAAATAGAAAAATAATATTTCGAGTTCATATGCCGTGATTGAATATGGGTTTAAATATTAGTAAAAACAGTTTTCATCACGAATTTCCGATATTTAAACTGATAAAGATTTTAAAACGACTGTCTGTCCGTCCTTCTTGGTCATGCTACCACCAAAACAAAAAATAAAACATGAAAAACATGCTTTCTCCTCGTATCTCCGCAACATATTGCCATAGAAAGCTGATCTTTTGCAAATTTACAAAATTTTGTATTCTTTACATGAGAGTCGCGGTTATCAATTTTTTAGATAAGATAGTATTGAAACAATTCATGAAGAATCATTCCATATTTTTAACGTCAAAACAAAGAACTTCAAAATTCAAGATCTCCTTAAAAATTGAGTTACTGAGCAAAATTCGGATGTATTTTATTAGGAAGTAAAGAATCATGTTTCTTCTATATCCAATTTTAAATAGTCCACCAATTCACGTGTTCCCCTACTCATCTTTATAATTATTAATACCAAAATAATAAATGTAACACAATAAATTTTATACTATCTGAAATAATAAGAAAGTTGCCGAGATGAATAAATTTGAAAGTATGTCGAGTCCTACGTAACTATTGCAATAAAAAGTAATAGTTTTACTTGAAATGCAAGAAAATGTTCATTTTAAGGCGTTTACCCTCGAATGTTGTATGGGGTATTTTGAAGAAAAATAAACAGAGAAAATCTTCTGAATTGAAGTCGAATGTTTGATAAGAGTACACTGACATAAACGTTATTAAATTTAATGTAGTTTAATATATTGTACATGAAATTTAATGTAGAACTGTACATAAAAAAGAGGTTAATATATTTATATATTAAATTTAATTCATAATTTGAAATCAGTGTAGATTTAATGTAGTGGTTCTCTCGCGTTTCCTTTCATCATTAATATTGTATTCACCATTCACAATTATCAGTCCGTCAATATCATTCACTCATTTCTTCTGAATATGACCATAAAGCTTTGACTCTTGAATTCTAATATACATTGTCAAAAATTTGTACATTACTATATTGTAAATTACATTAAAGTAATTTTCATTTAATTTTAATATACATGTGTACATTACGATGCAAAATTCAAAGGTTTGTCATATCTGTAATAAATGAATGAAATATCTTGATGAACTGGTGATTATTAATATATTAATCATACCAATATATATGATATAAATGATGAAAAGTTGGGAAAACGGGACCTGTACATTAAATCTACTCTGATTTTAACTTACGCATTAAATTTAATGCAGAAATATGTTAAGCTCTTTGTAATATACAAGGTCACAATAAGTTTCATGTACAATAAGATCAACCTACATTAGATTTAATGATATTTCTGACAGTGTGCGTTCATGATAATTACTTTAATGTACACTTCACCATGTAAATGTATGGCAGTGTGAAGTTCGTGATCGTAGCACGTTTAGTTCGCCCTGAGCGATGACAATTGTTTCTCTTTTTATTTTCATTTTCCCCTACAGCGAGGAAAGCGCTTTCTACGAATGACCTGAGCTGCGACTTGGCAAGCGTAGCTCTGAGAGCCGCAAACAGGAGAGCGAGGACACTCGCGCCGCCACAAGTCTTTCTGGAAACGCGCGTCGCGGCGCCCTGAAGCCGCGGGGGGGTGCAAGGGGGAGGGGGAGAGTCAGCTGACCGGCGGCGGGCGGCGCGGCGTCTGTTTGCAGCCGAGTACCGCGCGGTCCACCACGCGGCCGTGCAAGTTCCCGTCTCGGTCGAAGGTGGCAGCACCTACGAACAGTTTAACGAACCCGAGGAGTTCCGCACGCCAGCGAGGACTCGGCGTGGGGCTGGGCGCCGACGGTGCGAGCTGCTACCGGGGCAGCAGGTGAGCGGCGCCGCGCGAGGCGAGTGTCTGGCGAGCGGTCGATGCAGCCCGCCCCGCCCCGCACCTCCGGTGCCGACCGAGCCACTCGCACGTGCCCAGGCGCCCGCCTGCCCCGGGGAGTCCCCGCCGCGCACTGGCACGAAGGCCTTTGCCTTTGCCAGCGTCTGCCTTTCGGGCTTTGCTTTACAATGCCCAGAAGTAAGACAAGGGCCGTGAAAGGGTTGTCTTAGAGAACGGGAAGCAATAGGGGAAAGGTGATTATTACAACGCCAAAAAACGGTTCATATGGGGTGAAAAGAGTTGTCGTGTCGTTTTAAACGCGGAGACCACGGAATGGGACGACCACGGGAGAGGGAAGTGACAGAAATCCTTCCGGAGGCAACACTAAGTTGAAAGCCAGTGAGTATTTTCTGACAGACAAGAAATTGGACGAAGTCATGCGCGCAATGGGACAAGCACTTGGAGAGTGGCTTTTCTTGCACTTCGCACAGAGGTAGCGCAAGAGTGGTGCAACGGTTGATATTTAAAATTAAAAATGAAGTGGAGTGAAGGCGGTGAAAAGGTTGTTCTTTTTTTAATGCGGAGCAAAAAAACAAAGACGGTGGAGATAGGGGGAAGTGACAGAAGCCCTTTAGGAGACAACAGAGAGTTGAAGGTTAGTAAGGGTTATCTTTGAGATCGCAAAAAAATGGGACGCAGACGTGAAAGGGCGAAGTCTTACATTGTGAATCAGGGGGACAAAATCGAGTGAGAGGATTCCCAGAACTCAAAGCGGCACGAAAGAAAGTGAAAGAGGTTTAATATGAAGTGGAACGAAGGTGGTGAAATGGTTGCGTTTTAGAACTGGAATTTGTGGGCAAAGGTGTTTATTTTAGAATGCTAAGAATTGGGACAAAGTTCGTAAAAGGATTGTCTTTTTCAACGGCAGCAATGCAATAAAGACGCCGAAGATGAAGGGAAGTGACAGAAACCCTATGGGACGAAGGCGTGAAAAGGTGTTGTCTGGTAAAACGCGATGCAGGTATGAGGACGTACAGTAACTGGAAGGCAATGGAAAGGGTTACATTTATTTTCTTGCCTTACGAATTTCATCGTAAGAAAAAGTTATTGCAAAGTGGGGCGAAGGCGAGGGTCAAGGCTGTCTTATGGTAGGGTAAAGAGGGTTTGATCTTAGAACGTCAAGAAATAGGACAAATGCGGTAAAAGGGTTGTTTTTTCAACGCGAAGCAATGATCTGAAGACGAGGGGGAACTTACTGAAACCCTTTCGGTGGCGACAACAGGGGGTGGAAGGCCAGTAAGTGTTATCTTTTAGAGCGCCACACAGTGGGTCAAAGTCGAGGGACAGAACTGACGTTTAGTACGGGAAGAAGAGGTTTATTTTACAACGCGTAGAAGTAGGATAAAGGTGGTGAAAGGGTTGTCTGTTTGAACGCAAAGCAATGGGACGAAGACTCAGAAGGTGGAGGGAAGTGACAGAGGGGGTCTTTTAGAAAGCTAAGAAATGAGAAAAAGGTTAGAAAATGGGTCGAAGGCTTTAAAATCGCGAAGCAGGAAGAGAAGGGCAGGAGAGAGGGGTGTACGAAGGCAAGTGAACATATAAAGTGGGACGAATGATAATAAATGGCTGCGAAGAAACTCGAAGAGTCGGAGAGAAATATAGACAGGAAAAAGCGTTGTCTTTCGGAACTCTGGTAGTGAGGCGAATGCGAGTGAGAGGGTTGATTTTATAACGCGAGGGGGTGGGGGCGAATGCTGATGATAGGGTTGTCATTTAGGACGTCTTAAGGGGCGTAATTGGATGAAAGGGTTTTGCTTTATAATTCGAAGCATTATGAGAAGGGCAAGTAAAGGAGAAGTGATACAGCCCTTTTGGGAAACCACACAGTGGGTCAAAATAGGGAGAAAGGGCTTGCTTTTGGAAAGCGAAGAGTGACGAAGGTTGATGAGAGGATTGATATGTAGTTAGGTGGAACGTTTGGGTTTTATAATCCAACGTAGGAGGAGAGCCAGAGAGGGAGTGACAAATCCCTTTCGGGGTGCCGCGTAGTGGGCCGAAGGCGGGTGAAAGGGTTTCATTTTAGAACGCGTAGCCGTGGGTTAACGGTTGGTGATTTATTTTAGAATACGACGCATAATGTCCAATTCCCACAGGTGTAAGGACGTGAAGCGGTGCATGGCTTGGAACGAAGTTGCGCGAAGGCAGTAAAGACGTTTCCTTCCAGTGGGGAGAAGGTAAATGTTGCTTCTTTATGAGAGGAACGCAACGAACGAAGGCTGCGGAGAGATTACCTATCAGTGCGCGAATCAGTGATATGAGGGTGTAAGAATTGGACGGAAAGGAAAAAGGTGTTTCCCAGTTCGTCAGACATATCATCGAACGCCGATTTGAATTCTTAATTAATGAGAATCAAAGGCAGGTATTAACGTCTCTCTTGTCGAAGATCATCTATTTGAGGTACTCTATTGGGAAAACGACAATGCGTGCGGCATGTGTGCGGCATATGAAAAATACAATGGAACATCTTAAGCAAACACCCGATATGTATTATTTCTGCTCCATGAGAAGTGCATGATAAATGCATTAATATTTTGTTAAATAAATAAGTATTCAAATTAAAAGTCTATATGAAAAAAAAGTTAATCAAGTACCTGTTTCTTTGTACCATACTACCACGTGTGAGAAATGTATTTACCAACAGAGCTGCATTGACGATTCCACCACGTCTTCCATTACGATCCGTAGGGCTTTAAAACCACGCCTCCGAATTGTTGGTTGTCCCTCCGTTGTAGCGCTTCGCGCCACTGTGTGGGCGTGAGGGGGGGGGCTCGCGCTCAGAGGGGGTGGGGGAGGAGGGAAGAGGCAGATGGACGGTGTGGAGCCCTTGCAGCCCTTGTGCTTTACGGAGAACGGCTGCCTTTAATATTTAACGCCCCTGTCAGGCAATTTAAGCTGCCCGCCCGACGCCTGGCAGGGTGAAGGGGGGGGGGAGCCGAGACGGCGCCGCGAATAATCACGGCCTCCTTAAAGACGACGCGTTTCCTCTCCCCTGCCCTAGGTCGGAGTCGCTTCGGGAAGAAAAATCATCTTCAGTTGTTTCAGGTGTTTCAGGAGATGGAATAAATACTGTTAGAGGCGAGAGTGGAATCCTTCCAGCAGAAATGCTTACAAATACTTACGAAAGGATCGGCTCTAATTAGTTTTATGCGACATTTCCATCAAAATAAGATAATTTTACTAACAATTTCGCCATATCGAAACCATTCTCACATTTTGTATAAATGTAGTGATGTTGGTGTAACCAATGACGCGTTGCTAGAAAATAGATGTTTTTTACTCTGTGGCAATAGACTCTGTGGCAAGAGGATTGTAATGTTATATTTTTATATCTACGAGTAAAATGAAAATTGCAGGGGTTCTCTAGAGCCTCTTTCTTCATATGTCTGTTCTTCGACTCCCGACAAATGTTTTACATGCCTGAATGAAGAGTATAGGAATTTTACCTGAAATTATATCCACTCAACTGAAAGTGCTGCAAGGATTTTATCCTATATATAAAAACTAAACTCTTACAACAATTTACAAGACATTGTAAGACTATTATCTTAAATATGTTTTCTTCAACTCCTTTTGTAATTCCCTTCTATAATAGTAGGACTGTAGTCTTCGTAATGACCTTCTATAACAGTCGCGTAATTTTCATTAGAAACCATTAATTTGTCTTGGCGATGAAATTTCACTTTTCATTCATTCACTGTTGAAACGTTCATCTTGTTAGGTTTCTTTGCACGAACCATTCACACATTATAAGAAACTGTAACCTCATTTCATTGGAAAACTAGCCATGTATTTATTTCACAGTTTTAGCTGGAAATATTCCTCATTTTTCTTTCCGAAACATCATGTTTACAAAGAAAATTATTACGTTCTTGATTAACATCTACGACGTACGTTCTGGATTAACATCTTGATATTCAATTTTTGTGTTCTGATTCCTTTGCACTATTAGTAATTCCAAATTGGTCTCAAGATAATGAACAAAACTCGTCACATCATTGACAGATTTTTCAATAACGAATCTCTTTGGAGTGTTACTTGTCATCAACAAGATATTATTAAAAACTATTCTTAAACGTATGAAAGTCAGTATTGCACGTTAAGATCACTTTCAGAAATAAAAATAGCGAAGAAATTTACATAATTTTAGACAAAATTAATATAAGCAAGAACTAATATAAAAAGAAATGTTATCTTTAGGTAAATCGAAAATTCTTCAGCAAAATAAAATTACTACACGAAATGTCACCTGGCAGTATCCTTGTTAATAGGCAATGTGCAAAAAATGCATCAATAATATTTTTAAATGCTTATTCGTCAAAATGAAAGTCGAATGCAAATTTTAATATCAATTGCAATACCAGTTTAGAAAAGAATTGTTTTTGAAACATGACGTTTAGGAAACATTAAATGGTATGGTTCAAATAACTTTTTTTCGCAAATATTGCAATTTAATAAGAAACGTTTTGACAACAAAAATATTTTGAAGATTCGTAATGCAGCCAGAATTTTTTAATCATTTTAAACTACTAAGATATTCAGACAATCCCACCTAATATATTCAATAGACCCATATTTTAAAACCTACTGTATCAAATTATTGTTTATTCTCCCCATAGCTCTTCTACTGTCAACCTAGTTTACAGAAATATTCAGACATAAAAAATATGTAAATCCTCATTGTTCGTATCCTCTTATAAGCGTGTTCCCATTCAAGAGTGAGCTCTGTAGGATCACGTGAACATAAGAATGAGAACGCTGCCAATAAATCGTCTGAGAGCCAGTAACCCTCCCCAACGGGTCTTCCATTTGTCACACGATGGCACGTGAAACGCAAATGTGTGGATGAGTCATGGCGAGGCTGGAGATCTCTAGTGGTGTGACCTGGTGACGCTTGAAGACGTGAAAGGCGGGGGCTTCTGCCGCTTCCCCACTCCCCACGAGCCCTCGAGGTTGTTCGGGTGGAGGAGAAAGTAGAAGAGGTAGCCCTAAGGAGTCTTCCATTAGACACGATGGCACGTGGTTCGTAAACGTGTTCATGGACCCCGGTTCGCTAGTGGTGTGACCTGGTTGATGACAGCAGTGTTGCCGGAGGTTCGCTTGTAGTCGGGAAACGGCGAGGGCATCTGTCACTTCCCCTCTCCCCACTAGCCATCGAGAGACGGAGGGGGGAGCGGGTGGAAGGGGAGGGAGAAGAGATGTCTGCAAGGAGTCTTCCATTAGACGCGAGCTGGTGCAGACGGAGGTTCGCTGGAGGACGTGGGCTTCTGTCACTTCCCAACGAGCCGTCAAGAGTCGCTCGGCCGAGGGGTGGAGAGGGTCAGTGTGGCGGAGGGAGGGGGAAAGGGAGGGAGAAGAGGTGATCCAAGAAGTCTTCCATTACACGCGTGGTGCGCAATTGCTTCCTGGCAAAGCTGGTGGCGTCTAGCAGAGTGACCTGGTGAAGACGTGAAAGGCGCGGGCGTCTGTCGCTTCCCATCTCCCCTCGAGAGCCGGAAGCGTGAGGGCGGGCTGGGAGGGGAGGGAGGGCGGGAGGAAGGAGAGGGGTGAGACGCCGGCCGCGTTGCAGGGGCGCTGGCGCGGGCGCCGGCTCCTGCAGTGAAGCTGGTGCTTCACCGCGCCTCGGCAAGAGGACGTCAGACCTGGCGCTGTCCCAACGACGACGACGACTTCGACCCGGCGGGCCCAGCGCCAGCAGCAGGTACCGGCCCCCCGCCCGGCCCCGGCCCCGCCCTGCCACCGCCCCGAGCGCCTGCCCACCGCCTATCCTGAACGGTTCTCCCCTTCGTGCACCCCACCCCGTCTTTGGCTACTCGAATAAAGTTGGTCAAGTCAACCACCAACGACGATTGTCCGAAGTCGCTATTAAAGATGAGACGTATCCTTATTCGTTAAGGATCATTATTATTTTTGTGGAATGATACTTTAAAAAATATTGTTGTCAGTGGATATTATGTGGATGGAACATTATGAAATGGCATCCCATAAATATTATTTCTATTTAAGAAACACAGTCACTTGGGGTGACTCTGCCTCATGCACCACTTCAATGAAGGTTTATTAGTCGATTCTGTCGAATATACTATAGACTTAAATCAGCGGTTGCGTTGTCATACAATCAGAAGGCTAAACTTCACCAGTGACGTCATTGTAGTGACGTCATTGTTGTGACGTCATTGTGGTGACATCATTGTAGTGACGTCATTGTAACATCATCATTATACTGACGTCGTTGTAGTGATGTGTAAGGTCCTTATTGGATGACACCGCAGCGTCTCCTGTCAGAGGCAGCTGTAAATAAACAGACGTAAGAATCGACTAGTGGGTAAAGCATCTGAAAATACAAAAGGCAACATTTAATTTAACTAATATTTATTAAAGTTGTGCATAGCCACCCTCCCCTCACCCCAAGTGGCTCTGTTTGTTAAATTGAAATTCTTTTTATTCCATGCCGTTTGAAAATATGTCTATCCATAGCGGACATTATTTTTCAAGTATCATGTCCCAAAAATATTTGGCGTTAATGATTGTGGATACATGTCATTTTTAATACTTATTTAATTTAATTAAACACCACTTATCGTCAAAATGTAGTGTCCTTTACTGTTCCTACACTTCAATTCTTTACTTGGCAAGATATGTTTTCGTATGAGTATTATCCAACATTCCACAAGATCCTTGAGTGCAGAAGTACGATTATGTATTCTTTAGGTTCATATGGTGAGTGCTAAACGGTCGGAATTTGATCTTACAAAACTACGATTTCCAATGCGCTACCCTCATTTGTTTATTTCCGTCTCTTTCTTTATTTTTCTTAACTGTTGTCCTCTTCTATTATTTTATATTTGAAATTGCCGTAATATTACATTTGTAATTTTCTAATTACGTATATTTTAGTTTTACGTAATTATATCTTGCGTACACTCGTTTTAAATTATTGTCTGAGTATTTTATAAAACAATTTCTTCCGTAAAAATTTGAATTTTACAGTCACAACGTTTCCCTTTTTAACTAATTTCTTTAATTTCAAGAAGTTGTCTTTGCAAGTGTCACCTTATTCCTTTTCGTTCTTTTCGTGATGTGTTTCTTAATTTTAAGATCGGTGCCTTTTAAACACAAACCTCCTTCCAACCGTAAACCCTTCGTTTCTTTATTGTGCTACCTATTGTTGCTAAGTTATCAAACGTATACTTAACAATGAAATTTTCTGGCCAACGTCCTTCAGATTGTATTGTACTCCACCTTTCCTTAAATGGCGTTTAATTCATTATTCACCATTCAGAAGCTTCTAAGTCAAACTTGCTCTCTCATGCTTACTCAGTTGTCACAGAACCTATTTCTTCTCCCGCGTTTAATATAAACGTCTGAACTCGTTTGGTTGTTGAAACCAATTCATTTGTATCTGAAAATGGCGCCTCTTACCGTCCCGACTTCCTTCTTCAGAAGCGCAGGCTCGTTCCTTATCTCGACTTTTTTCTCCGCGACGCAACGATTGAGAAGCCGAAGAAGAACAGCTACTCTTCGCTTTCACCACCGTCGTCTTCTGCGACGTCGTCTTCAGCGTTGTTCTGCTCCGCCACTCGTCACCAACTTTGTCCCTGAGACTTTGTGTAGTGGTGGTGTTGCAATCAAGGATCCGATTATGATGCAAGTTGATTATGATGTACGATAAGATTAAGATGTATGATGTAAGTATTGATATTAGCCAAAATTGAGGACGATGTGTTATGGGTGGCGTTTGTTAAGTCGCCGTTCTCGAGTACATGGTTTTAGAGTTATTCAAAAATAATTTTGTCAAATTGATTTCATTAGTGTTGATTACTTTCACGTTGTCAATGATTTTCATGTTTCTACCGAGGAGCTATTGGGTAAGTGAAATAATCGTATATTTCTGATATTTTCAAAACTATGAGCTATAAACAAATCTATGAGCGTTAATATTATGATAAAGAGTGCATGGATTACCATTACAAATATCCATTCTCCTATGCTAAAATCTATTATCCAAAACATATTTACTAAAACATGGTGTATGTATAAAATAACGATTACATATTACATCTGATAAATAATTATGCATAAGGGTTGATACAGCATTCTTTTAAGAAAAATCCCTTTAGAATTCTCTGTGTTGAATTTAAAACCCCTAAAGAACAGAATTCGCAAAGGGGCGTCTATCTTTAAATATTCATATTGTATCTGTAGTCTCTTACACTCGCAAGTGTTCTAATAATGTCTGTCATTCTATTAACTCGCCCTCCACCTGTTACATTATTTCAGGATTAATAATAAAATTTAAATGAAAATTAAAAATGTAATATCGTTAATAGTCAAAACCTTCGTTGAAAAGTGTATTAATATCATTAGAAGTGATGTGCAAGTACTTAAACCTAGAAACAGAATCATAAGTGGACCACGTTTAGGCTTAGGGGACGAGGCGAGGGCTTCTTATCCATCAGAAGTTCACCCCCATCCTCCTCTCTCAATCGTTTCAAACCGAAAATTGAGGTATTTTTAGAAACCTTTGCATCTTTCTATTCATTTTATTCAATTACATTTTAGTATAAATAATTGTTCAGAATATCTGTGATGAAACGTATGAAGTCTATTACAGTAAACCCTCGTTAACACGAATTCCAAGGGACTGAAATAATTGGTGTTCTTATTATAGAAATTCGCGTAATCCGCAGAGCCTCATAACCACGTTTCTTTGGTTGGCTCCAAATTCGAGGGGTTATTTCCGCGAAACACATTTTAGTGAAAAAAAAGGTTCAGGCAATCCGTGATGCAACTGCCATATCCCACACGCGCCTAGAACATTCTTCCGAGGTTCGCACGGTGAACGGCGGCGCCAGCGACAGCGCACGCGTGCCCCAGACGCACTTCCGGCGATCGATGCGCGCACGGCCGTGCTCGCGCCGCGCTCAATACGAGGCGCGTTGCGCCGCGTGCCCGCCGCTCGCGTGCGCGGGCGCGGCATGACCGGACGCGGCGTGACCGCCAAGCGAGAATCGCGCTCCGGAGCTGCCACTGTGGGCGGCGAGTGACCGTGTTTTCTTTGGAAATGTCTTTTCGTGGAGGCGCTCATCTCTAAAATGTAATATGTGCAGGTTGTTTAAAAGAATAAATACACAGAGGTCGCAAAATTAATGTTACAAACTTCTAGAGCAGGGATGTCCTACTTCCACGACCTCAAATTATCAACTAAAACATTTAATATGGTTGTGGGTCATAATTTCATTACTCTAGCGATCCACACATGACTTCCCCGTATTGTTGATCTCGGTAATTTGTCTGACTGCTCTGAAACGGGGGAGGGGGCATGGAATCATGCGTGAGATTAGGTCGTACCACATACACATTGGGATGATTTTGAAATAACAATGGGAAATCAACACATTTGCATCACGTTGAGATGATTTAGAATTTACTAGAATAAATTCTTAAATTTAAAATTGATGCTATTTTTACTCGTAGGGGTGTTGGCTCCGACAGGGCGCGTGCGGTAGGCGCCCTATATTCTCGCTAGATATGGATGCTGGGGACTTTCTCTTGACTAAAAACTTTCGCGGGCCACGATAAATGGCACCGCAAGCCGCGTGCGTCCCGCGGGACGCCAGTTGGACAGCCCTGTGCTAGAGCATTTAGAAGGGTCGAAAATTATCACTTTTTTTCCAATGACAATGTAGTGGAGAAATTTCATAGAATAGGAAAATACGCATGATATTTCCCCTGAACGCTAGGTAACCCCGTATACAAAAGTGTTCGGCAGGAACACGAAATCTTCTCTGCGTCATATCGTGATCGGAAGAACGCCTGTGCATTAGAAGTCTCACAATCAGGGGTAAGGGTCTCATGTGCTACCCCGGTATATGAAAATTTGTTCTCTATGTTCAATGACAAAAAGTAATAATTTTAGAGTCATGTACGTGCTCTAGAAGTTAGTTTCATTTATTCTGAGACACCCAGCGCTTGGCCCATGCTTTCATTCATCAACGCGCGTCTCTTCTAAGAAAACTAGTTATGTAATACACGATAGTACTCGTAGTTCTTCTTACAACTACTGTTTTTTAATTAAATAGTAGTAATAGTAATTTTTGATAATTAAATCAGTACACTGTGGCACTAAATCACGTGCCTCACTGCAGAACGATCAAATAATCGACAAAGGAGCCCCTGCGTTCCGCACGCCCTACCGCGGGGCACGCACCGCATTGCGCATTTCAGTACGTTGCGTGACAGCACTCCACGCTACAAGTTTGTACAGAGGAAAACATTCTTTACGCCAGTTCGTTCAAAGTGGAAGTGATGCTTGTAGTCGCAGACGGTTATGAAGTTCGATACGCCACCGCAATACACGAAAGACCTTCAGTCCATGTACAACTTGCGGTGGTATTTATCAATTTTAAAATGATAACAGATCATGAACCAACAATAATGTTCATTTTAAGAACTGTAAATCGTCTAAAGTGCCTTATTCTAGTTAAAATATTGAAAATAGCTGTGAATGTGATAAGCATGAATGAAAATTCTTAACATTTTTGTTGGATTAATCATGTCAGGACATGTGGTTCAGATAACACATTTTTGCTCTAATTCTAGTACAAAATACTCATTAAAAGACTTGAAAATTGAATTTTTACATTCCTGAAAGTTTATATTGTACTCCAAGATAGTTAAAACAATGCCGTCCAATATA